TTTTTTTTTTTTTTTTTTTTGGTACAGGGACCTTCCGGTTTCTGGATCCACAGGGGAATCGACTAATTCGGAATCGAGCCGGGTAGGACCACAAGGACGGCAAATATTTTTGTCTTTTTAAATAGTACTATTACGAACTCGCAGGAAAAATAATTTTCTATATATTGTTGAAAGTTAAACAACAAAAATATTACGTTTGAAATTTGTCTTGGGATTAAATTATATGTCTCATTGCTCATAATATATATCACCACCTTACACTTTTTAATAATTTTAACCAATTATTTGAATATTAGCAAACAAAGGTCTATATTATTACACTTTTTACACTTTTGGTGTATTATTAAATACATCGAGTCGGAGGCGGACACGAGAAAATTTAATACACAAGTCATAATTTCAGTAGATATTATCTGTGGGATTAGATGTAACACCACATTATATAGGTAGAGATGAAAGCACAAGATCTAGACAAATATACCATCACTTGTATAATTTTTTTTTTTTTTTTCTATTTTATAATATATGTTTAGTGTATTTTTTTATTAGCAAGGTAAGAAAAATAAATAATATTAATAATTATGGCCGATAATTTTGAACTAACGTTTTTTAAAAACGATATAAGAAAAAACTTTAATTTTTTTAAGTTTATTCCATTGTTATATTTAGGTTTATAATGTCTAACAATTTATGGTATTTTTGTAATAAACATAGTTTACATTAAATTATTTTTAAGAACATTAAATTATTTTTAAGTTTATTTTATTATTATATTTGAAATGTCTAACAGTTTATGGTATTTTCGTAATAAATTTTATATGTGTAATTTGAGTATACTCGGTAACTATTACTCACTAATTTTATTTTATTTATTAGAAAAAAAAATATAATAATAAAAAGTCGGTGTGTCTTACAAATGACGTGTGAAATAATCCCCCTTATATATAATTTCATAACCATTGAGTTTAAGTGGTAGCTTCGCAAGTTTCGTAATCTTACATGGCAACATATTATGCTTTATAATAAGGCTTGGATAAAAAATAGTAGTACTAATTTTTTATACCAAAATTTAAGTTCGGATTTATATATATATATATATATATCAAGGAAATAAATAGCTCGCTAAAGTTGCCGCTATTTGAGAAATAGCTTTTTTTGGCAACGTGCCGCTATTTGTATTCATGTGCAATTTAGCCGCTAAATCCCGCTAAATCTCCGATATAGCTCCGCTATAGCTACAGTGCCATAAACGTTTTAGCCCGCTATTTAAAACCTTGATATATATACATATGTAATATATTTAAACCACTCCATATAAATCTAGTAATTATCTTCTTTCTATAATGTGCATATAATCTTACTTTCCAAATTTTGTGTTTTGTTCATATTATTTCATTATGTGTTTTAAATTTAAAATATTATAAGTAAAATTAATGAGGTATATAAATTAGTTCTCATAATTTAAAATAATATTGTAATTTATTATATATTGTTCTTTATTTGTTTTTTTTAAATTCAACAAAATATATTTTTTTTTTCATTTTTATTGTACATTTAATTATTTTATCAACCACCCGTGTAGTACACGGATACTACATTTAAACAAAATTGAAATTTAAAATCAATACTTCTATTCATTTATTTTAAAATTTAAATTTAGATTTTTTTTAGCCTTCTTGTGTAATACAACACGTGTTGTAATAGTTTAAATTATTTAAACTAAATTTAAATTACCTAGCCTTCGTGTTAGTTAGTTTTCATCATTAAATCTCAGGGTTCAATTAATGATCAGTAGCACAAAATATGGAAATTAATTATTTCATAACAATCATTAATTATAGTAAGTAATCGAAAAACTCCATTAATATGGGAACCAAATCTTTTTTTTACCGTTGGCCCCTTGGATTTTCATGAATATATTATATATACCCCAAATAGCCTTCACAGATTACAACATTCTTCGGTTGTTGATTTTACTTGTTCATCAAAATTCTTTCCACTTTTCCTTGGTTTTCTGAAATCTTTTGTTCTGCTTTCTTCCTTTACAAAAGGAAAATCAAAGAAATTTGCAGTGTTTGGGTCCAAAAAAAAAGAAAACATGGGACGAAGAAAGCTGCGAATGCAGCTCATCGCCGACAAGAAATCCCGGCTGAGGCAGTTTGAGAAGAGAAAGAAGGCCCTCGAGAAGGCGGCCCACGAGCTCTCCACTCTCTGTGGTGTCGAAATAGGCATGATCGTGTACGGGCCCGAACGGGCCCGGCCCGAAATCTGGCCAAGGGAAGCCACTAACCAGCACGTCCTCCCGGGCCTCATCGACTCTTACGTGTCGACGCTGGGCCACGAGGGCCGGAACAAGGCAATTGGGCTGGCGGATTTCTTCGTGGACAGGGCTGAGGAAGCAGAGGACGAGCTGAGGAAGGTTCGGGAAAAGTCGAGGCCCGCCCGGTACCCGATGCCCGGGGAGGACAGGTACAACTGCATGCGGATGGAGGAACTCGAGCAGTTTTGCGGGACCCTCGCGGCCAAGATTCAGTCTGTCAGGGGAAGGATCGACATGATGAAGGGGTCGGGGCTCGGAGGCCCGACGGGCTTCTGCGCGGGCCAGTACAATGTTGGTTGCTCGGGGGGTGGTGATGACGGGAATGCGTTGATGATGATGATGATGATGGGGATGACGAGCAACGGGCAGGGGCAGTATGGGAATTATGCATGTGGGCATGGTGACGGTGGCCTGGTCCCGAACTGCGGTTTCTATGGGGTCGGTGGTTCGGATGGAGGAGACGCTTATGGGTTCGGCGGGCATGTTGGAAATTACGCGTACGGTTTTGGGCTTGGGGTGAGTTGTATAGGGGCATCGAAAGACGAGTTGCCGATGGTTTGCTCTCATGAGGGCCAGATTTTTGAGCAGCCGGCGCCGGCGGGGTCTTATTACGTGCCGGGAATTGCGATAATGCATCAATAGTTATGAAATTTTATTCTTAATCTCCCTTTTTTTTGATCGGTGTTTGTTGTGGTGTGAGGAAGTTCTTCTGGGGAAGTTTCTTTTTTGGGGGACGATGAGTGGTAGTGATTACCGTTGAGGATTGTTTTATTTTGCGAAGCATTGAGTTGAATGTATGCACGTTTTTAATTTGAAAGAAACATGAATGTTTTATCGTTTGAATTATATTATTGCATTATTTCCGAAATGCTATAGTCTCATTACGGAATTATTCCGTCGAAATTTGTAACCGTTAGATTATCGTGTAACCGTCGTCCGTTAGATTATCGTGTAACCGTCGTGGATAAACTCCGACGGAATGGTTCCGTAACGGGACGCACAAATAATTGTAATGTCAACGGTCAAACAGTATTTGGATAGCATAAATATTGAACACATACACTCACAAAACCACGCTGTATGAATATATACTTCTGTTATGAACGTTTTAACAAAGGATGGAAAAATAAAGGGGCAAAAGGATCTAGTTAAGAATATTATGACCAACTTCACAGTTCTTAGTAGTTTCAGGGAAAGTTCTTTCACAAATAACTCTTTCCCTCTCTGTACAGAAATACCAAACGGGTACATAACTAGGAAAACAGTAGTATTTAGCACTCAAAACCTAAAAGCATTTTTTCAAGGAACATCGGCAACTACACTCACACACTGGCATATAACTTGTTCAAGGGCTATGAAACACAACGGACCTAACAAGCGTTCACACCGGTTATATACAAAGTAAAAAGCCTACTACAGTCGGAATCTTATTTTTCTGTTTCTGGCAAATACACTGGTCCAAACACGACCCAAATGAGTTGCGCTGGATGAATTATTCCAATTGTTTCTTCCTCTATTGCCTCAGCTTAACCCATTTCGACATGGGGATTGGAAAGTCCTCCGTATTCAAGCTGCAAAAATACCAACAAACCGATGAATATGTGACCAAGGAACAGAAACGGTTCGTTGCAAGAACTCTCGTTGCATATTCTCATTTCAAACCAATTACCTTTCAGAAATACAGAACAGACGCTTTACGTTTATTTTTGTTTTACATAAATTGTGTCCCTATGAGAACAAAAATTTCATAAACCGGATCTGCTTTCAATAAAGCCAAACCTCAAGGCTTGTTTTCGAAATTGATAAAAAAAAATATATATTAATTCCTACCTTCGGTTTAGTGTTTTCCAAGTTGATCCTTCTCTACTAAATGGAAAAGTTAACCCACGTGTTTCATTCTCTTTCCCATTTACAAATTGCCTCTCAGGAAGAAAATATTTCAAATCCCAAATTTAACCAAAAGCTTCTTTTAGTTAAACTTGGACCTCAAGGCTAGTTTTTGTCAAAATTTATCAAAACGGAACTATCTACCTCAGCTTTGCTATGTTCTAATTTCATCCTCCTGTACGCTTCCTGAGCCTGCTTCGAACGAAACATCGCTTGAACCTTCACAACCGATCTCTCAACACGCTCCTCGGCCTGTTTCCTGCTGGCTTGGAAGAAGTCTTCTTCCACGTCATTTTCTTGATTTGGTTCTTTAAAGATTTCATCGGGCTGAACTTGAAGCCCACGAAAGCCTTTCCTCTTCTGCCGCCAGCGTAGTATAGCTTTCTCAAGGACGCCAACCGACCAAACAATTTTTTGGTACTGCCTCCTGGCCTGGTAACCCCTGAAAATAGCCTGCCAGCAAAGAACTCCCATCAGAAATTCCAGGCAACAATCGATATCCATGAATACCAATGCCTAAGTTGAATAATTATCTACCCTTGAGGGTCCTGACATAGTAGATCCAATTGTCTCTGGAAGTTACAGATTAGCCCTTTTGGGTTTGCCTTTACGTATCAAATATCAAATCCCATATTGAGGATTCCACATGTAAAATTTAAGCAAAAGCCATTACACTTGTAACTTTTAAAAACAGTAGGTATTATCCTGCAAGCACACATAACATAAAGGATATTCTGGTCATGAACCCTTGTTATAGTTAATTTTCTTTACCCGGGTGCTTGGATTGGTGACCCATTTTCTGTTAACCATGCAACCACACTACGTTGTCACCAAAGCCATGTGAATTCTATATCCAGATAATCTACTTCTGATTAACCAGTAGGACAGGTTTTAGTCTTTTCTTGGTACTATTGATTTTCACAGGTACTTGTATTTACAAATCAAACCTCCATAAAAAGAAAAGAGTAATAATATCCATATGCTCAGCATTCTCTTCCGATAACATTCAAAGAGTAATAATATCCGTATGCTAAGCATTTTCTTCCAATAACATTGACCCATGTAATTGAAAGAAAAAGAAAAGGAAGCCGCATGTTTATATCCACTCACTTGAATTTTAATAGCCTGCCGCCGCATGTTAAGGAAATCCTTGCGTATCTTCCAGGTACGAAACCTGTATTGTATTCTAGCAGCAGCAGCCATCTTTTTGCGCGTCTCATAGTTGCGGAAAGCGTGTTGGATCTTCATAGCCGCAACAATATTACGTGCTTCAATCTCTGGATCAAGCGACTGAACTGCTTTTGTTCGTACCTGATAGAGTAAAGATCGTAAAATAGTAGAACACAAATGACAATAAATTTCATTGGATATTCATCAACATCAACATCAACATACCCAGTATATTCCCAACAGGTTGGGGTCTGGGGAGTCAGTTGTACGCAGACCTTACCCTTGTAATTATAAAAGTTGAAAAATAAGGTTACATGGACTCCTAGAAAAGTTCAAGTTCTCTTGTATATTTAGTTATTACCTCCAAGTTTGTGCCCTAAAACAGCTACTTATCTGATAAAATATTGTGTGTCAGTTTTTTCTTTAGGACTAGTGTGGCAAGATCTGGTAATTCAGTTATTAACACAAGATTAGCCGTACATATGTTTCTTGGAAACTAATTATTCTTCTTATTTGCTCGGCCAGTACCTTGAGTGAATGCTCTCTGAAAGCAGTCTGAATACGTGCGGCGGCATCAGCAGCAGTCCTGTAAGCTGCAAGAGCATCCTTCAGATGCAATTCCTCCTCAGTGAAATTTCCAGGGTTAATTATGTCATTTGAGTTGGTCTGTAGTGATCCGCTAACATTTCCTGCCAACGTCATATCATTAAATTGGGCAACCAAACCCTTCTCAGCAAGATAAGCAGCTAAGCCGTCATAGCCATTCTTGGAAGCCAGGTCAGCAGCGGTACATCCACCGGGGATTTGTGGGGTTGGATCTGTGACTAAGTTCGGCTTTGCCCCAGCTGATAATAGGGTTGCCACCATTTTCTCCCTGAAGTTAAGATACTTTCATGAGACGTTTTACTAATTCATGTACTTGTTAAAGTCGATACTGCCAAAAATGTTGATACTCTGTCACCCCAAAAATTTGAAGTTGTCAATACTTACATGGTGCATATATCCTAAAGAACCGAATGGTGAGACTGAAGAAAATGAAATATTTAAAGAGCAGAAATAAATGCATCAAATATTCAGATAAAATCATAAAATGAAGCAAAGCAAATTAAGCAGCATTTTCAATTGACAATTTTATGATGATACCTTCCATAATATGCAGCCCAATGTAAAGCGGTCCATCCATATGTGTCCCGATAATCTAACGACAAACCAGACCATGAAAACGGGTGCACAGCCCAAGTATAACCCAGGATAGCACATAAGTGAATTATGCCCTGACCTTGTTCATCACGTTCAGAAACTTTACACCCTGCCACCACTTTTTCTATCAACCATTCGTGAAGTCGATTCTGTAAAGTCAATTCAAATAGTCTATTCTTTGCCTGGGAAAAGGGAATTTTGGCATCACGAATCATTTTGCTCAACACCACCCAGCTTTCAGAGACGTGTTTAGTTTTTCGAGCAAAAGCTCTGGCTTCCCTTAAAGCATTAGGGGATAGTTTAGTGGAGTAAAGATACAAGCCCTTGGACGATGAGAACAATAAACGAGCAAGCCTCATCTGAAGTTGGAAGACTTCCCAATCATTCTTATCTTCATATGAAATTGCATTATTGGGATTTGCTGGAGTGCGGAATTCAAAAGTTCTGATTTCACTAATAGGTGTATGCCCATCAATAGTTAAATATAGATTCACTAATCCGGGAGTTTGAGGAGAAACTAAACAACGGAACACTCCAGCTTGGACAAGTTCCACTGCAATAATTGAATCTCCGCATGTAAGATACAATCGGGAGTCCGAACGGGGTAGAAATCCTTCACTGAAAGACCCAACTATCAAGATCTGCAAAGCAATCCACAAGTCAATAAAGTGCTGTCCGAAACAAAATTGCAGATGGAGGGTCACAAGAAAATGAAAAATAAAAATAAGATAAGAACATACAGTCATTAGTTTAAATTTAATGTAAACACATGATATTAGCTTAACCATGCAACTTTCCTTTTTTTTCTTTCTCCTTTCCGTGTAACAGACAGAGTAAGCGCGTGCAACTAATTTAAAGAAAAGGGAAACATATGTCTTTGTAATCGTAGCTGATTTTCGTCCTGCATATACCTAATTCATTTAGCCACGATCAAAACGCTCCAAAACAGTAGGTGTCCCTTTTGCACTTTTAAGCATATCACTGGAAAATTGTGCGGATGTTTGGAAGTCTACCACAACAGAGACCATAAGTAAAAGGGTGAAAGTAAAAACAACCTTTGTGACTTCCGTTGAAAGAGCCCATGCAGGTGATATATCCGATATCTTGAATATCTGGCCCGGTGGAGGATGGTGATGATCAACTATAGGATATGTGAACGATTGATGCCCATCTAACATTGAGGATTGCATAACCTGATCCCCGACTGATTCCGGAGAATCAGCAATGGCGTAAGTCATCCACGTACCAAAACTGTCTTGTGCTTGCGAACAACTTAATTGTTCTAGTCCAGACACCATACTGTTTGAATTCACTTTCATCTCAGAACCCACTGCCTGGTAGGATATTGTGTTGGGATTACAATGGTTAGCGGCATTATTGTGGGTAACTTGTCCAAAGAAACTGTTTGCTGAAATTTCTGGGTTAACCTTACTGCTTATTATGCCATCGTCCTGTAAATGAAACACTCAGTATTAATTTTGAAACAAGAAAGGCAAAGATAGAGCAATTTGTTTAGCATGACCATATACATTATACATATAGACAATCTGACACTTTCAGCTGTCTGCTAAACAAAAAAACGTAGCCAAGCAACACCATTTCTGTTTATGTCATGATTTTTTATATAAAGCTTCAATATTGGTCAAGGAAGGACTAAGTGCTTAATGAACTTGAGTGGAACACTAAACCACTTACACTAATTCTGCAACTGTTCGCCTGAGATTGACCTGGAAACTCGAAGCCAGCAATGTTTCCTTGAAAAAACATGCATTAATTAATAATTGCAGCCAGCGCTGTCTTATAATATGGACATGATGAGCTGTACCTTCTTGTAACGAATTCAGCTTCTGGGGACCGTCAGGGACTAAAAGCTCATCCCATTCAAGCGTATTTATCTCATGAAGTCTCTGCTCATGATTTTTAATGGTCATACTATCATTACGCTCTGGAAAAACATAGATATAAGGGCAAAACATTAGTCATAACAACAGGAAATTAATGATTTAAAGTTATTTTACTTGTGTGTGTTTGAAAGAGAGTACAACATAAATAACAGACTTTTATCACCTAAAGGCGACATGTCAGCACCATAATGCGTTCGCTCTACTGCAGAATCAAATTCTTCAAACAACTGTTGAGATGCAGGTTGTTCAAGGGCGGCAGAACTAGAGTTGGAGTTTACAGGTGTGGCTAAAGAACCCTGCATCCTCGTCAAAAGTAAACAAGACATAAGTTTCAAAAGCATATATTTACCAGTGAAATGAAATAATTTGACTTCATAAGAATCAAGGTATGCGACAAATATAAAATGTTTTTTGAGAAAAAAAGAAGTAGAAGACACACAGATAACATTAAGACAAAAAATAGACATGCAGATAACATTAAGACAAAAAATATTTGGACAATATCAAAGCTACGATGGACAGAAAAGAAACATAGGTATGGAATAGCAGGGGAACAAGGGGTTTTCAATTTCTATTTTTTTTTTTTTTTCTTTTTTTAAAGGATGAGGAAGTAGAATATGAAAAAGTAAAAGGGCACATGGAAAAATTATAAGAAACAAGGAGTGACATCCAGTAGTAGTTGAAAACCACTTTCGGCAAAGTGCACAACCTTTAGCTGCTAATGTTACAAGAAATTGAGCTGCTGTAGAATCTACTTTCATTAGTTATAACTGTGAATGCCAAGTTTCAGTTGAAGAGTTCTTGTACTACATGAAAAAATATGAGGTCTAACTTAATCCAGCAAATTAAGCTTTTCGGACTGGAGAAGTGACTGCAATACTAAACAGTTGTCATAATATCTAAAGGAATAGAAATTTGGAGCCTTCTAATAATTACTACCAACTGCGCAACAACAAAAAACTGTAATAGCTTTGAATAAGCACTACCAAAAGATGAAAGACAAAACATACAGAAATATACAACTAAACATATCTACTTGATGGAAGACAAACCTCTTGAGTTTCACGATAATGCACAAGGACTACATGTTCCATTGACCTGCAATTAGGAACTATCAGAAATTCATGCCTGATGCAATCACATGTTCAAAGAATCACAGAGGCTTATCAACTCCAATGTCCAAAGGTATAAAGAACAAGAAACAAGGGGGTTAAGTTGGATGACCCAGACTCATACAAGGGTTTAAAAGTCATACTTGTCGAGTAGCCAGTAACATCTGCGAACAAAAGTTGGGTTGTCTTCTCCATGTGCATAGTAAACATGAATTCTTTCCTCATTACCAACCTGTATTACAAAATATATAATACATGTTTGTCAATAAGATATATTTGGCTTTATGAAACCTTCAAACATCGAGCAGTATACTAATCATAGTTGTGCAGAAGCATGCCAAGAAAACTGTACAGCTTAAAGAAATCATCATGGAGAAAAACGAGTAAAAACAGGCAGTAAACTGACAAGCTTGAAAAGGAAATAAAGGCATAACCCCTTGGATTAATATCTCTGCGGAGCACTACAATTCAGAAAGAACGCGGATTGCAAAAGATCCCTTTGAGGATACATATAATTAAAACACTTCTCAGTCACCAAATGAGGCTGGAGTTTCTTCCACATATTTATGTTCAAACAACAATCTAGTAGCCAAGTATTTCATTTCAAAGCACCAGGCAAGTACTTGTCTAAAAATATCACGATGAATATTCCAAGTGCAGATGGAATGTTGATATTCCATGGCTCAACTAACTAGGTCCCAAGAAAAATGCAGTTCAAATAATTGGCCATTACTGCAGTATTCATGCTGATACATGGGAAAAAAACATATAAGGTAGAAAAATGAAATTCACCTAAAAGAAAAGGCAGACATTAAGACCATTAATCATTTTTCCCCCATCAAGAGAAGTGCAATTTCTTGTATGGGTGGAAGACATTATAAAAACAAAGCTAGAACTTACCTTCAAGTGTTCATGAGCTTCTTTAACAGTTTTTCCATCTTTCTTCTTCTTCCATTTATGACCATCTTTTCGAAAATTCCGGAGCATCTTACGATCAAACAACACAACCGTGCCGCCTATTAACCACAGAATCGATAAGTTGGTGAAACCACGTAACACATACAAACTCAGATTTTCATTCATAAATGAGATAAATTAACAAATTTACAAATGTTCAAGAAACAGGTATACAACTATATAATTACTTCTTGGCAAATTCATGGGTTTGACATAAACAGTGAAGCGCTTGTAGTTAGAGAGCACGGCATGAATCTCGTTCGGTCTGAGCCATCTCGATTTGGCTTCCTCTATCATAGTGGGAAAATCCAAATCTGTCCACACATACGCCCAAGTATTACATTTCATCAAAGTATTAAATTGAACAAAACCACGTCCACACTTGGATTACAACCACACACATGTTAAAACATGCAAAATCGATCAATTTAAGGAAACACATAACCGAAAAAACAGACAATACAGAGATGCTTGTCAATTTATGCAGCATACTGGCATCAAAATACAAGACATAACCCGCGTAATCCATTTAGTAAACTAACTTAATCCTCCCCAAATTTTATATTAAAAAAATCAGGAAACCAGAGTTGGTTGCTTAAGTAAGTCCTTTGTGCTTCATTTCTAATCCACACAAACAAACCAAAAACGTAACTGGAACACAAAATTCCCAAATTTTCCAGTTTGTATTACGTCAAAACCTACAAATCCACAAAATTCAACTGTTAATTGCCGGGCTTCAGCCACCTCAAAACTCTGCCAAGTTCATGAAACACCCCAAGACCAAAATTGCGCAAAACACAACAACAACACAAGCGTCAAAAGCCTGTGCAAATACGAGCTGCTCTGTACCTTCCATGGTGCGGAAGCCATGAATCTCCAAACCTAAGAGTACACCACTTTTATCCATCAATGGATGTTTCAACTCACACACACACACACGCACACACTGTACTTTTCCTGATTGAGCGAGCTATCTGAACCTCACTGCCTCTAAGAATCAATCAATTAACGTCATGTTTTTATAGTCGTAGAAAATGCATTCGTGAGAACAGAAGAAAATAACAAAAAAAAAAAAAAGGGGACGGGTCCAAATTAGGAGCGGCCATTTGAGAGGGACCAGTCAACAGCGATGCGTTGGACGGAAAATGGTTCAGTCAACAGTTAATGAATCTGTATTAACATCATTAATCAATCATCACCTACAAGTCCCGATACGGAACCATTCTATCAGGATTTATAACTGTTGAATCATCATGTAACTGTAAGAGATAATTGATCTAACAGTTACAAACCTGACAGAATGATGACGTAAGGAGACCGTAGCATCTTCTAACATTTTTAGTTGCGTAATAATGGTAAACTAATTAAATTATGCAAATATGCATGGTGTAGATGATGCCACGTAAGACTGCCATGCGGGCTAAAAGTTAAAAGGGTAGCCGTAATAAATTCCAACAGAATGGTTTTGTAACTGGAATGCAGCATTTTACTAAGTTAAAATTAATTGTTTTTTGGGTTGCACATTTTATAAAAATAAAAAATAATTAGTATTATACTATATTTAAATTTAAAAATTCTCTCGATGGGAGTTGCTATTCCTTTGGTGAAGGAGATCGGTAGTGCATTTCTTGATATTGTTCCTTTTTCGTGATTTCTCAGAGGTGGATAGTTCTCTGGTTGAGCGCGTTTTATTTTTTAGGGTTTTTTATGGCAGATCTGGGGGTAGCGAATTTGGGGGAAGAAGGAGATGAGGTTGTGCGCATTTTCCATAAATTCTCGCTTTCTGAGAAGGAATCTGGGGGTGTTGACATTCAGAAACAAGACATTATATATAGTGAGGAGGAATGTGGGCGGAGTTTATTCGGGAAGGTCATCGGTGATAGACGAGCTACGTTATTGGGGATTAAACGGACAATGAGCTCTATCTGGAGGATCAACCAGAGAATGGAAGTGCGAGAACTGGAGTCAAATTTTTTCCAGTTCATTTTCAGTTCGGGAGAAGACAAGAGGAAAGTGGGAGCAGGTCACAACTGGACTTTTGAAAATCAGTATCTCATTCTCCATGAATGGGTTCCTGGGATGTGTAGTGTTCACAGCTGCTTCGATCGCATCTCTTTATGGGTTCATGTTAAAAATGTTCCTTTAAATTGGATGAGCAATGATGTCGGCCTGAAGATTGGAGGAGTATTTGCTGGCGTGAAGAACGTATCAATTTGCAAAGTGGGAGGAGAAGCTGGCAGCTATATCAAATTGCTTGCGTCCATTGATATCAAAGAACCTATTCCGAGATGCACTTTTGTCAAGCTGGATAACCAGAGAACTATGGTATATTTCAGGTACGAAAAACTAGTGAATCGTGCTATTACTGTGGCCATATCGGGCACCTGGACAGGAATTGCACTCGCAGGCTGAAGGATATAGAAGATAAGAATCTTCAAGAGGGGCAGTTCGGGGAATGGTTGAAAGTGGGGGAGAACATGTCTGGAAACAAATTCTCATATCAGAGTGATTTAGAGCCTAAGGAAAAAGAGGCAGGGCAAGCTCATACTTCTAATAAGGAGTCTCAGGCTACTACTAGCACTGTTGGGAATCCTTCATCAGCAGAGGTTCCAAATCCCAGAACTGAAGATGAAGCTCCACTTATGAACATTCCTGAAGAAGATTACTCTGCCAGAACTCTGGACATAATTACATCTCCAGGGATTGAGGAGGGTAAAGGCGACACAGTTGAAGATTCAGGAACTGGTATGGAAGTTCAGAACTCTCCTGTAATCACAGATGGTACCTGCACTTAAATTTCTATGATTGCTGGGGTGGGAGAACAAAGAAGTCTGGGAAGGAAGACTTGGCGGAGAACTGCTGCAAGAACTGGAAGCAACTCTAAAACTAATGTTGAGGCTGAAAATGATAGTTGTTTCAGTAAGAGTAAACGAGTCAGAGAGGAGGATCTTAGCCTTCCGACTCTAGAGCTAGACAAGATGAAGAAGGAGAAGCCAGATAAGAGAGCAAAAGTATCTTGCGAGGAGGTGGAGAAGGCCAGCCTAAAGTGGCCCCAAGGTGACAAATGAAGGCAATGGTGTGGAACTGTAGAGGGCTGGGTGGGCCCTGTACGGTTTCCCAGATTAAGGACTCAAGAAGAGTCCACCACCCAAATTTAATTTTCTTATCAGAAACCAAAAAGTCTGTTGATTTTACAAAAATTGTGTGTAGAAAGCTGGGGGTAGATAGTAGATGGTTCTTTGTTCAGCCGAAGGGTTCTAGAGGGGGGTTGTTACTCATGTGGGATGTGGAGACAGAAGTTAGGGAAATTGTGGGCAATGATTTCTGTATTCAAGCAGAGGTGAAAGGGCCAACTGATAATGAATGGATGTGGTTGATTCTAGTCTATATGAGCATTGACAAAAAGGAGAGGGTTGTTCAATGGCAGACCTTATTATCATTTAAGAAGCAGTGGAGGGAAGTATGGGCTATTGCTGGGGATTGGAATGACCTGTGTAGCAATGAAGAAAAGAGGGGCGGCATAATCAGAGGGGAGAGATCTTTCAGAGGATTTAAGGAATTCATTTCCCAGATGGGGATGCAGGAGTTGAATCAAGCAGGTTCCTTTTATACCTGGGGGAATAATAGGGCAGAAGAGGGCTATGTGGAGGAGAGGCTAGATAAAATATTTGTATCTATTGGATGGCAAATGCAGTTTCCTGAAACCAAGGCATCTAATTTTTTTCGAAGCTCCTCTGACCATAATGTCCTCTTCTTCGACACATCAGAGATGAAGGTTAAAAATAAGCACAGATTCCAGTTTAATAGTAGCTGGTTAAAGCTTCATGGAATAGAAACTGCAGTGGAGGAGGGGTGGAAAATGCAGGGGAGTGGCACTCCAATGTTCAGGGTGAAAGAAAAAATAAAAAATACTAGGATGTCTTTACTTACCTGGCATAAACCGATCAAGTCTAATTATGGAGAAATTATCCAGAGGATTAACAGTAAACTGTAGGACATGAGCAGATCTGGGGGGGAGAGAGATTGGAAGATATGGAGCTCATTGACAGCTGATCTTAACAATGCCCACAGAGAGGAGGAAAAATTCTGGAGACTGAAAGCTAGAGCACTGTGGATGAAAGCTGGGGATTGCAACTCCAAGTTCTTTCACGCCTACACCTTACAAAGGAGAAAGCGAAATGCAATTCACAGACTTACTAGTGAAGATGAAGTTATCTGTGAATCCGAGGAAGGAATTGTGAATCATATCTCTGAGTATTATTCTTCTTTGTTTGATTCAGAGGGCTGTCAAGGGAGTGATGACATTCTTGATACAATTCCCAATTCAATTCTTGATTCTATCAACAATGAATTGGTGGCACCGGTCAGTGACGAGGAGATAAAAAATGCTGTGTTTTTTATGGCGCCTGAAAAATCTCCGGGAAGCGATGGTATGTGTGCCATTTTTTTCCAACACTTCTGGCATATTGTGCACAAAGATGTGTGTATGGCTGTTAGGAGTTTTTTTTCATCCGGTCAGATTCTGAAAGCCTGGAACCATACGATAATAACATTGATTCCAAAATGTTTGTATCCCGAATCTTTGAAGAATTTTAGGCCGATAAGTCTGTGTACTGTCCTTTATAAAGTAATTGCAAAAATTATTGCTGAAAGGCTTAAAATGTGTTTACCAGATTGCATTAGCTCTAGCCAAACGGCTTTCGTTTCAGGCCGACAGTTGATTGACAATGTCGTGATTGCGCACGAAATGTTCCACTTTCTTAACCGACATCGGACAGGGCCTAACAAGTTCATGGCTATTAAAATTGACATTGAAAAAGCGTATGATCGGATTGAATGGGAAAGCATTAAAAAAGTCATGTCCAAAATGGGTTTTCACCCTCTCTTTATCAAATGGATCATGGCTTGTGTGTCCTCGGTTTCATTTTTTTTCAATGTTAACGGGCAAGTTGCTGGTTATATAACTCCTTCTCGCGGAATCAGACAGGGTGACCCTCTGTCACCGTATCTGTTTATATTGGTCTCTGAAATATTTTCTTCTCTGGTAACTAAGCATGTGGAGTTAGGACTGTTTAAGGGCATTAAAATATCTCACAATGGGCCTGCAGTTTCACATTTATTATTTGCAGACGACTCTCTCGTTTTTTGCAAAGCTGATTTGGAGCATGCTCAAAGACTTATGCATATTCTTTCCACTTACTAGAAGTTCACTGGACAAAAAGTTAATCTTGCAAAGTCTTCCTTGTTCCTTAGTAAGAACTGTTCTAATGAAGATCAAGAGAGCATATGCAGTACTCTGTTGGGAATTTCTGTGCACAAATCCACCAAGTATTTGGGACTCCCACTTGGCATTGGCCGATCGAAGTCTGAAGCATTTTCTTATGTGATTGAAGCTGTGAGGAACAGGATATGCAGTTGGAAGAACAAATTTTTATCAGCTGCAGACAAAGATGTGTTAATCAGGTCTGTTCTAAATGCCCTACCTGTTTTTGTAATATCTGTATTTTTGCTTCCTGTTGGAGTGTGTAAAGAGGTGAGTAAGTTGTTGGCTGATTTTTGGTGGAGTAAGGATGAGGAGCATATGAAGGGATTTCATTGGAGGTCTTGGGAAAAACTTTCTCTGCCTAAACAGGCAGGGGGTCTTGGCTTTACCGATCTAATTCTTTTTAACAGAGCCATGATATGTAAACGGCTGCATAGAATTGTGAATTATCCAGAGTTATTGGTGAGCAAAGTACTAAAGCAGAAATATTTCCCTAACTGTTCCATTTTTGAGTATAAAAAGAAACAAGGGGCTTCATGGTTGTGGAGTTCGTGGGCCTCACAAATCTATATTTTGAGAGATGGAATCCAGACTACTATCAGAAATGGGACAGACACAAGCATTTCAGATTTTAATTGGGTCCC